TTCTCAACACAGTTTCAGATTTAGTTAAAATTTTGTATAAATTCGTAGAAAGCTCAAAAATTGTTTCCAAAACTTTCTGGATAAACTAGACATCATTTTCAACAACTTTGTAGAAGAAATTATCTCAAAATTTTGAGTATAAAATTGTCTAAAAATTCGGGTAACATGCTGGCAGATTCAAGACAGATTATTCTCAACACAGTTTCAGACAATGTATCAAATGTATGTAATCTGAAAAATTTCAATTATATAAAAATAAAATGAGAGGGTTGAGAGGGTTTTCTTACTCAGTAATAGAGTGACAAAATGGTTGAGAATTTTGGCTTCTTTAATCTCCTACTCTTCTTCCTCTCCTAACACCAAGCTTGGTGGCTTTGGGGATTTCTCTCTTCTTCTTCTTTTTCTTTTTTTTTTTTTTTTTCCTTTCTCACCGGATGCTTGCATGCACAAGGAAGGCTTGCATGCATATAAATATTGAAGACATCTCTCTCTCCCTCTCATTCTTTCCATTATTTTATTTCCTCAAAAACATTTCATTCCCTTTCTCCAATTTCTAAGAGCAAACTTTCTCTAATTTTCATAAGTTCTTCCCTAAATTTTATAAAGGATGGTGGGTTTGGTAGGAGCTGTGGATTGTTTGCCCACGGTTTGTTTGTTTGTATTTTTTATTTTTTATTTTTTTTGTGTGGGTTTTTGAAATTTGACACACTAAGATTTTTAACTAAGGTATTTAGTAAGAATAGTTATTATATTGAATCATAATTAAAATAATTTATAAATAACAAATATTGAACATCCACAAAATTATTATTCTTAACAATGTCTTGTTAGTGATTGAATTGAGTCAATTTAAAACTAACTTTTACACTAATGTATAATTCAGATAGACTGTAGACAAAATTAATTAATAAATTTTCTTTAAAGAATAATTAAAAGATGGGTTTTCACAACCATGCCATAAATTTGAAGACTCAAGCAAGTAAGAAGAAGATGTATTATTATTAATAACTGAGGGTACAACGGTCATTATATTTAACTTGAAAAGGCCATCAGACATGTAACTTTTTCCTACATACATCTCATTTTTGGTAAGTACAAACTTGTCACTTTCAAAAGCTAGCCTAAACCCATTTTTACTCAACAAAGATCCAGAAACTAAATTCTTGCGAATGTCTGGTACATGCAGCACATTGTTGAGAGTGAGTTCCTTTCCTGATGTCATTTTCAGAACAATCTTCCCTTGTCCTTCAACTTTGGAAGTTGAGGAATTGCCCATAAAAAGTTGTTCACCATGGTCCATTGAAGAATAAGATGTGAACATCTTTTTGTTGGCACAGATATGGCGAGTAGCACCAGTGTCCACCCACCAATCTTTAGGATTTCCGACAAGATTTGCCTCGAAAATAACTGCAGAAAGATTGATGACATCTACACCATTGGAAATTTTATCAAATTCGGTCATTTTAGCTTTAGCAACCTTCTTACTTGATCTTCCTTTGCCTTTACGTTTGTAACGATAATCTTTGGTCCGATATCCCTCTTTGTTACAAATGTAACACATGCCATTAAACTTGTACTTCTTAGTTTCCCCTCCTTTAGATAGCATTTTCTTCTGCCA